TTCCAGTACAAACCAGTACAGACCAGTACGGACCAGTAGAGCTCCGTCCAGACCAGTCCAAACCAGTCCAGACCAGTCCAAACCAGTCCAGACCAGTCCAACCCAGCATTCCCAGTTCAAACCAGTTTAGACCAGTCCCTGCCCCAGCTTTTCCAGTACAGACCAGTACAGACCAGTATGGACCAGTAGAGCCCAGCCCAAACCAGTTCAAACCAGTCCGGACCAGTTTAGACCAGTCCAGACCGGTCCCAGCACCAGCTCTTCCAGTACAGACCAGTCCAGACCAGTCCAAACCAGTACGGACCAGTAGAGCTCCGTCCGGACCAGTCCAAACCAGTACGGACTGGTCCCAGCTCAACATTCCCAGTTCAAACCAGTTTAGACCAGTCCCAGCCCCAGCTCTTCCAGTCCAGACCAGTCCAAACCAGTACAGACCAGTATGGACCAGTACAGCCCAGTATGGACCAGTACGGACCAGTAGAGCTCAGTCCAGCCCAGTATAAACCAGTACAGACCAGTCCAGACCAGACCCAGCCCAGCATTCCCAGTTCAAACCAGTTTAGACCAGTCCCAGCCCCAGCTCTTCCAGTACAGACCAGTACGGACCAGTATAAACCAGTACAGACCAGTCCAGACCAGACCCAGCCCAGCATTCCCAGTTCAAACAAGTTTAGACCAGTCCCAGCCCCAGCTTTTCCAGTACAGCCCAGTACGGACCAGTATAAACCAGTACGGACCAGTCCAGCCCAGTCCAAACCAGTACGGACCAGTTCAGACCAGTCCAGACCGGTCCCAGCCCCAGCTTTTCCAGTACAGACCAGTCCAGACCAGTTTAGACCAGTCCAAACCAGTACAGACCAGTACGGACCAGTCCAGACCAGCATTCCCAGTTCAAACCAGTTTAGACCAGTCCCAACCCCAGCTTTTCCAGTCCAGACCAGTCCAAACCAGTCTAAACCAGTATAACCCAGTCTAAACCAGTATAACCCAGTCTAAACCAGTATAAACCAGTTCAAACCAGTATAACCCAGTCTAAACCAGTTGAAACCAGTATAAACCAGTTCAAACCAGTACAAACCAGTATAAACCAGTCCAAACCAAATTCCCATCCCATCAATCCGTTCCCCTCATTAACGGCAATTAATTCCCGTTATTAGCCCCTAATGAGCCCCGGACGCCCATTAATTAATATTAATTAATTAAAAAAAAATTATTGCCAGTTAATAACGATGAGCGTTAATTGCTCTCATTAATTTCCCATTAATTAACGGAACTGATTAAAAATGATTCGATCCTAATAAAAATTCCCTCAATCAGAAATTAATTAATTAATTAAAAGCGATTAGAAATCAATTAGGAGGGGTAAAAACGGATTAATAATCAATTAATAGCGGTCGAATCAAAGCCATTAACGCCTGATTAAGCCGATTAGAATCTAATAAATGCCGCTAATAATCTAATAAATGCCATTAATAATCTAATAAATTCCGTTAATAATCTAATAAATGCCATTAATAACCGACCTAAACCAATTAAAAACCGCTCAAATCGAAATTAATTAGATGAAAACCAATTAAAACGCGATGAAATCAATAAAAATCGATGATTAATCAATCAAAGAAAATCCCGATTAATTCCCAATGAAACCGATTGAAATGCGATTAAATTCAATTAATAAGTGGAATTAATAAATGGAATTAAATTGATGGAAAGGGGTTAATTAAAGCGAATAAAATCCGGTTATTAATTAAACCCAATTAAAGTCATTAATCGCAGATATTTCCCCGTTAATTGATTAAAGTTCCATTGAAATTAATTAAAATCCATTAAAATTAATTAGAAACCAATTAAATTCCGTTAAAATCAAATAAAAACTAATTAAAGCCGATTAAAACCAATCAAAATTAATAAAAACCGATTAAAGTAATTAAAGACCGATTAAAATCNATCCATTTCCCTCCTCTCACCTGGGTTGGACACCTGGACGCTGCTCGTTCCCCTCGCCTGCTCGGCGCGGCACCAGAACGGCTGCCGCGATTTCCCCTCGTCCAAATCCATCCCCAGCTTGGAGACCACCAGGAAAGTTCCGGAAACCCGCCAGGGCATCTGAGGAAATGACGTCACGGACGCCCCCGCCGGCAGGCTCCGGTTCTGGTGGTCGGTCCACGAGAAGGCCACCGGGCCCGGCAGAGAACCCACGGCGCCGCAGCCCACCGAAAATTTGGAGGCCGTGCCGCAAGGGGACAGGGGGAAAACGTCCGGGCTGCCGGGCCGGGCTGCGGGGAGGGAGGAAAGGAGGAGGTTTGGTGAAAATCTGGTGAAGATTGGGCGAAAATCGGCGAAAATTTGGCGGAAATCGGCGAAAATTTGGCGGAAATCGGCGAAGTTTTAGAGGAACTCCGGAGGGAATGGGAGAGGTTTTGAGGAAAATGGCGGGATCGACAAAATGGCGGGATTGACAAAATGGCGGGATTGACAAAATGGAGGGATTGACAAAATGGCGGGATTGACAAAATGGCGGGATTGACAAAATGGCGGGATTGCCAAAATGGAGGGATTGACAAAATGGAGGAATTTGAACAAAATGGCGGAATTTGGACAAAATGGCGGAATTTGGACCAAAATGGCGGAATTTGAACAAAATGGCGGAATTGACACAATGGAGGAATTTGAACAAAATGGCGGAATTTTGACCAAAATGGCGGAATTTGGACAAAATGGCGGAATTTAAAGAAAATGGAGGAATTTTGACCAAAATGGCGGAATTTTGATGGGAATCGGAGGAATTTTGAGGAAAATGGCGAAATTTGGACAAAATGGCGGAATTGACAAAATGGAGGAATTTGAACAAAATGGCGGAATTTAAACAAAATGGCCGAATTTGGATAAAATGGCGGAATTTTGACCAAAATGGCGGAATTTTGACAAAATGGAGGAAATTTAATAAACTGATGGAATTTAAACAAAATGGCGGATTTCTTTACAAAATGGCGGATTTTTGAAAACAAAATGGCGGATTTTTAAAAACAAAATGGCGGATTTTAAAAACAAAATGGCGGATTTTTGATGGAAATGGAGGGGTTTGGGCGAGGATTGGGGGAATTTTGATCGAAATTGACCAGTTCAGACCAGTATAAACCAGTATAAACCAGTCCGAGCCAGTGCAGCCCAGCACTCACCTGTACACACCAGTACGGACCAGTATAAACCAGTCCGGACCAGTCCAAACCAGTCCAAACCAGTCCAGACCAGTCCAGCCCAGTCCAAACCAGTACAGACCAGTACAAACCAGTCCAGACCAGTCCCAGCCCAGCATTCCCAGTTCAAACCAGTCCAAACCAGTCCAGACCAGCATTCCCAGTTCAAACCAGTTTAGACCGGTCCCAGCCCCAGCTCTTCCAGTACAAACCAGTAGAGCCCAGCACGGACCAGTCCAAACCAGTTCAAACCAGTTTAGACCAATCCCAGCCCCAGCTCTTCCAGTAGAGCCCAGTACGGACCAGTAAGGACCAGTCCAGACCAGTCCCAGCCCAGCATTCCCAGTCCAGACC